GTTAAGATGGAGAGAAGAAGAGGCAGCTTTCAGTGAATGACCCCAATTTTCTCAGTGAAGTAAGAGGCCAACATAAACTCCCCTTTACCCATCCCTGACTTAAGACTTCCTCACCTTAACTAACTCCCAATGGCCTACTCTAGATTTTTCCATCCCTTCCACTGTGCCCTCTGGAATATCTGCTCAGTAATTTTTTAATTTCTATTCACCTTAAACCTTTGTTAATCCTTCCATCTTCTAATCCACACTGAGACATGGCTCCCTCCCAACATCACACAACCTTTGCTAAGCAACTTCTCCTTTGAGGTTCATGCTAACCAACTTTGTGACCTAAACCAAAACCTTGTGGTTTTATCTCTATATCCTCAGGACATTCTCTGTCCTTCCTCACTGAGTTCAGAGCTGGCCCATAATCTTTCTCTCTTCCTCACACCAGGGGCTTCAACATAAAAATAGACACTTAAGTACCCCTATTTCCTTGTTTATCAATCTATTCAATTCCCATGACCTACTCCACTCCACCTCAGCTACACACAGAGTAGGTCATACCCTTGACCTTCCATCACCCACATGTTCCATCTTCCACGTTCATGAACTCTGAAATTCCCTCATCAGTCTTCTACCATTCCAACTTACATCTTACATTGCCTTCACCTTCTTCATGAATTCCATTCTCTCCACTTCTTGGTTCTTTCCTAGGTAGGCTATCACCCCTGCAATGACTTACTCCTCCTCCTTCTCTTCCTACATCAACCCCTTGGTGAATGGAGATAACACCACTATGCTGGCTGGTCCTGTTACAAATTTATGTTATCTTAGTTCAACTAGGCTCTCATTGCAGCAAGGCCAATATTCCTACCTAGTTGATTTGCTGTATCTCACTCTCCAAAGCACCTGTTCCACTCCCTCTAATATCTCCTCAAGCCTCTCACTGCACATCTCCCTCCACCTTTGCTGCTGAAGTATTTTTTTGTGTGTGTCAAAAATGAAGTATATTTTTCCTAAACAATTTTTCAATAATATCTGTTAAATGAGTACTTCCCAAATAAGACCCTGATGTTCAGCATGATGTGAATATGAATTCCATGAGAAAATTTTAATGCTAGTGACATTTTTCCTCTAAAATATAAATATGAAATGACACATAAAAAGCTTTTTTACATATAGTCATCTTTCAGTGTAAAAATAGGCTTAATTCTTTGCCTTATTTCAAAATCTCTTCCCCTTTCCTTGTATCCCAAGGTTACTCCAGATACATTTTATTCCCTTCCATCGCTGCAAGCAGCATTTCTGCTTTCTGCCAATTAGATTTCAAGCCCCAAAATATTCATTCCATTTGGGAAATACCAAGCCAAGTCAATGCTTCACATCCAAAGACATTTTGTAGTGGGCTCCCTCGTTATATAAGTAAATGGATTTTCATTAACTCTGGGGAGCTGCCAGTACAATCAAAAGAAAGAATGTACAAATGTAGAGTATAAACATATTATTGACGGCGAAAAGAGCCACAAGAATGGAAATACTGGCACATTTCACACATAAACATTTCTGTATATTACCAACCCATAAATGTGATTGTGCCATTTGCTGCAACTCCATAATGTAAGATTGCAGAGGGCTACTTGCATCTCAAAAAGACCCAAACTGCATTTCAGGCCTGCTGCTGCTGGGAAACAGTGGGGTACCTTGGTCATTGTCGTTTGATCTGAATTACAAATGGTGCACTTTGCCCAATATTCAGGTGGCAGCTCTTCCACATACACCCTTGGATTTATACCGATACATTTTCTACTCTTTTTCAAGAATGTAACTCTTATTTGTTGACCTACTATTAATTATAAGGATTATATTTTGGAACAACCTTAGAAATTTAGTGCCTAAGGTATAAATTGTTGCTTCTTTTCCCCCTCCGATGTTTAATTTTTCCTTTATCAGCTCACTTGGAATTTTGGCTTGAAATCAGACAAACACCCTGGTAGACTCAACCTTTGGACTGGCATGACATCAGAGTATTTCAGGCTGTTTTTTCTTGGTGGCAGCTTATCTTCTCTCTCGTTTAGCCACAGGTGAGCTGTACACACCAAATCTAGTGAATATATTGGTTTAAAATACTTGCCATGGTATGGAATAATAAAATGACAAGCTACTCTAGGAATCTGATCCCTTCAGCAATGCCCTTGAAGTGGCATGAGATAGTATTAATTACAAACCAAGAACACTTTGTCCTTTCCTTATACAGAACAGACCTTTCTAGGAGTAAAATTTCGAAGTGAGGTGTTTGAACCTCAAAGACCTTATTTATTTCAATGTGGCCAATGGCCTCCTTTAGAGTGATGGATCTGGAGGCAAGAAGACCTAAGTTCAAATCTAACCTCAGATACTTACTAGCTGTGTGACTCTGGGCAAGTCACTTCACTTCTGTCTGCCTTGGTTTCCTCATCTGTAAAATGGAGATAATAATAGAAGCTACCTCTCAGGATAAAATGAGGATATGAAGATCAAATGGCATAATATTTATAAAGTACTTCGAAGCTTTAAAAATACTACATAAATGCTAGCTATTATTATTATTTTAGGATAAAATCCAGAACAAAATTATGCTCATTTTTACATTCCTGGGACCCAATGTTATGCACCTTGCTGATACTTAAGTTTTTAACTTAATAACAAGACAGTAAAATCGGTCATTTCAACTGTTATTCAGGTATCTGTATAACTGTGTTTTCCTTTAAAGTCCTAAATTTGGGTGAGCAGAAAACACAAATCCTCATGCAATTCTTGTCATGTCACTGAATGTCTTGTCTGTCATTCCTAAATGTCAGAATGGTGAAGCCAGTGAAGGCAATAGTGAAAAGTGACAGATAAGAACTGAGATATGGAAGGTCGATCCTGCTGCAGGCTTTTGCTACAGGGTCAGAAGGGTTGATAAGAACATCTTGAACCTATTTTGATGAAATAAATATACATTTTAGAACACTATTGTTATAGTCAAAATATTTGCGAGCCCAGATGCATATACATGGTAGGATTCAGAGTGAGAACCTGGTTCAGATGTGTTCTTCAGTCTTCAGTGTCTCAAGAACTGGATTTTTATCAGTTTAGTACAGGGGTAAGAAAACTATGACCTGAGAGCCAAATCTAGCCCAATGTCTGTTTTGTATGGTCCATGAGCTAAGAAGGTTTTTACATTTTTAAATAAAAAAGCTCATGAGCTAAGAAAGATTTTACATTTTGAGAAATGTATGACTCTCAAGCCATGCAAAAACAAGCTGCAGGCTCTAGCTAAGTCAGTGGTGAACAGGTTCTGGTTAGACTGATTTAAAGCTAACCAAATTCAAAAGAGACTAATCTGTGAAACAGGTCAATGTTTAAATTTATAATAGGAGCTTTCTCCCACTAAAATCCTACTCTGAAGCTTCTTGTTCATCCTTCATTCTTGAAGAGAACCAATGATATCAGGACAGTGCTTAATCTTTGCGTAAAAGTGGCCCTTTATAGCTATGCCAGTGACATGTGAAGTGAGTTTAAAGCCAGTCTAAAACAACTTTGAATATGGTGGCTCTCATAACAAAAACCAGCCTAGCTAATGGTAGAAAATTGGCCAACAAGTGATCATTCTTTTTCACCATGGAAACTCATAAAGGCTATCTACTAAGGAAAGCATGAAGGGTGATTGCAAGCTAAAAAGACAGAGGGCCTACTAATGGAATCCATTAAAGAGATGTAGACAAAAGCCTTAGGCTGGAGCAGACCCTACCTTGAGGGGTCACGAGGAAAAGCCGCGAAGACAGAAAAGAAACAATGGAAGAGTAGATTGAGAAATCTGAGAAGGCAAGGGAAGAGAGTGTCAGTGTCCTATAATTCTTCTTTTTGAACAATTAAATTTAGCAAAACTGAACTTTTTGAACAATTGAACTTGGCAAAAAGCTCAAATAGAAGGAATCTGTCTGCTTAGGAAATTCAATAAACAATTGCTACACATTTACTATGTTTCAGGTACTACAGCTGAGTGCCAGGGACACAAAATTGAAAAACCACAACTTCTCTCCCCTCAGAGTTTACAACCTAATGTAGAGTTGGTAAGGCACACAGACAGGTAAGAATGATACACTTTGCAAAGGGCTCAATAATAATCTGTTTTGCCCCTCACAACAATCCTGTTGGGTAGATGTTATTATCCCATTTTACAGATAACACAACTGTGGCTCAGAGATTAAGTGACTGGCCAGGTTACTTGACACAGTTATTAGATTGTGTAGGACTTGAACTCAGGTCTTCTTGACTTCAAGTCTAGCACTCTATCCATTGTACCATCTAGCTGCCTTTAAATGCCTTGTCATGATTAAAGTATTAGGATCTAGGGAATTTTTAATATTTAGCCTTGTTTTTGTAACTATCTTGTATATCCCTTTTAAATGTGGGATAAGGTATGTACATTAAGTAAAATATAAGCATGGACTAAGGGGGTTAATCATATCTTATTAAGCTCCTACTATGTGCCAGGTACTGTACTAAGCCCTGTCCCTTTAATCTCACAGCTACCCCCTGAGACAGGCAGGGCAGTGTTCCTACTTCCATCTTTTACAGTGGTTTATGATTTCTGCTTTGTTCAAGATACTGTGTTGTTCTGAATAAAATGGACAGATAGTCCAAAATGCACAACCTACTACTTGTAAGTATCATGAAGTTCCCAAGTTTAGGATTCCAAGCTCAGATGCTACCTCCTCTTTCAGCACTGTGCATAGGGTGTGCGTGTGTGTGTGTGTGTGCGTGTGTGTGTGTGTGTCTGTCTGTCTGTCTGTCTAGTGTTTTCTTCATTTTAGGTTCGATTTGCTGCCTTGATTTCTGTCTTACAGATAAAGGAACGCTACCTCATCCTTTTTCCTGAATCTATTGTTTTCTTAGCAGAGCTGATAGAAGGTAATCCTCTTACATCATGAGAGGGCATACCCAGATTCCTCAGATATATGTAGGCCAGTCATAGACACAGAATGCTGGACTTGAAATGAAAAAATGAAACAAGCATTTATTAAGATAATACTTATTTGTTATTTTGAAATTTTACAGTCAACTTTCAGTTATCTGTGCCAGTAGAAGGGAAGTGTGGCATACAACAACAACAACAAAAACAACAACAGAAAGGCCAACAATTTCTTCCATTTGGCTGTGGAGTTTTTTGTTTTTGGGGTTTTTTTAGCATTCTGGCACCCCAATCTTATTTTATTGAGGTGAATGAAAATGTGTTGAGCACACATTGAAAAAAGTGATTAAGAAACATGTTAAGGTCCATGAGGAAGCCAAGTTGGGATTACAAATTTGCCAGAGAGTTCCATAGATTGATGATCAAGAATTGCCTATGAGAGAGAAAATCAATTTCAGTGGTTTTCTAGGACTCTGATATTCTAATATGACCTAGAAGTGATAGACCTTATACGAATTAAACATGTTAGCCATGGTAATATTTTCTTTCAAGAAGCTATCTTAAGAATTATATGGAATATAGATATTTTATATAAAATCTAACTTACCCATAGCATTAAAGGACTTATGGTTTGCATTTCATTAAATCATTGTTAGTTACAATCTTTTAACAAAGGAAATGAAAGGTTCATTTTCAAGCTTCAGCTACAGCTCGCTGCTTACAGATTTTTCAAGATCATTAATTAATATATATATATATAATATATGTATATATGTGTGAGTACATACATGTACATATATATGTATACACACAAATTTCCTATAGGAATTATTGAGGATTTTATAATGCACACTATAAAAACTATTCCATCTCCATAACCTCTGAACTGAGAATTATCTAGTTGCTCCATATAGGTGATCTTTGCTACTAACATTCAATATAACTAGATCTCTTGTATTATTACTACCAGCCAATTGTTTCTATAGAACCTTAGCCCTTATTTAGTGAGGGAAAAGTTTGAGGGGAAAGTTGAGCTTTTGCTACTTTGCCCAGAAAGGTCAACAGGGGGACCTGAAAACCCTTGAAAGTGCCATTTCACTGGTGTCTCTGCACCAAAGCATTTCATCAAATAAATATTAATACTGAAGAAATAGTTTATAGTTACATTAAAGAGAAAAAGAGATTGAAAGGGAAAAAAAAACCCCAAACATTTGGACTAGCTGTTTCTGCCCTAAGTATTTGCAAAATGAAAATGTCAAATATTCTCTTTAAAAATATAAATGTAGATCTGCTCTCACATTATATTATTATAAAAATTTCACCATAATGAAAACATTTCCAAGACCCAGTAGATGGTTCATTTCAGCAAAATTCAATAGAACAAAATGATCTGGGTACCTCCTTGAAATTTGCTACATAATTTGACTTATAGTGAGTTGGTTACATTGAATTTCCACAGTTAGCCAGCTTTCAGGGACAGTACTGAAGATAGAAATGTAAAGCACTTTGACTTACTAATGGAAGTTTCATCTTAATCACATTATGTAGAGTAATGTTCGGATCTCAGTTATTAATGACATGATGGGGTAAGACTTTGAGTGGTGAAAAGCTCATGCAAACAAGTCCATCATTTCTACCATGCTGTCTTTTCTCAAAATTCAGTATTGTATTTTCTAATAACATCTACTGTATCAATATTCAAGATGGCATATATGCTCAAGATGTAGGAAAACTCATCTTGATAGTACATGGCACCCTCATTTTACCCCACCTAAAACTATTAAAAATAAAATTCACGTAGACTTGCAATTTTACTATGGAGTCATTATAAGTTCCTGGGTGTGTACTCTAAGTTATTTTAGCACAGGGTCCACAGAGACTTAAAAAGAAAGTGAATGAAAGATCATTCACATCTTTAAAGTGCAGATCTTTCAGAAATTAGCATTTGCTCATACACAAGATAACCACCCCGAGCCTATTTCTTTTTTTCTGTACCATGTAGATACAACTGCAATCCAGATTCAAAACCAATTAGTTGTTGCTGTTGTTTTTTAATTTGGCTCATTTACTGCAGTGAATAGTTAAAAGTACCACAGCTAGTCCCTGATTAGTCTGAATAATGAATCCCCTAACATGGTCACATGCATTTGAACTCATACTCTTCAAAGTTATAACTATGTAAAATATAGTCATCAGCTCTAGCCCAATGAATATATGTAAGAATTCAGATAAATTGACCACTTCAGGAGATTCATTATGCATACTTGTCTATGTAATGGATGAATTGTTTAAGGCTACTGTACAATCTAAATGGGTATTATGACAAAGGAATTAGCTACAAGTCATGCTTTATTCTTTCTCTTTCTTCTTTTTTTTTTTTTGGTACAGTCGGCTGTTAAGTGTATTCTATATGCCTCATGGTAAGCCAAAACTAGAGCATCACATTATTAGCAACTTTTAAGTCAGATCCTATAAATATAGTCCAGCTTAGACTGGGTTTTGGATTCCTTTAGAATAGAATTTAGTAATCCTTTTTTTTAACCCTGATTGCCCCAGTACAGTTAAACAATGCCCAAAGAAAAGGGAAGAAAGGAGGGAGGAGGTGGGCAAGTGGGAAAAAGAAAGAGGGAAAAGAGGAACCTGTGGTGGGGAGTGAGTCAGAATAACACCAGTAGTGGCTATAAGGTCCCCTGTGCCACAGATGTCTTCTCCCTGTTCCAGTCTAAGTTGTGTTTTAGTGATGACTCTTCAAAATACCCTTTTCAGTTTTTATATTATGAAAAGTAACTTGACAAAATAAGGAAAATGGACAACAGAGAGGAAGTCTACATATACAATGTTGAGGCCCCTACTACATAAACCATGTTTTGATTCTGTTCTCGTGGCACCAACTACCAGCTCCTTATATCTAATAAATCAATGTCTCCATTGATCGTCAGAGTGTCAATCTTGTCAAGCTCCTTATATCTATATTTGTATTCCAAGATGTGGACTCCATTTATGGCAACTTTGTATTCGTTAGTGGAACAGTAAATGATCATCTGAAACATAAGAAAAAGAGGAAATGTAGGTGCTTCTCTTAATTTAAGAGTAATAACAATAATAACTTCAGCAGAGTCAAGAGCATTCTGATTCAGTTGGATGGGCCCCTGCTAAGGTTTTTGGAAGCAATTGGCTTATCTCTAAGTTTGGTATGGCTACTACAAAGGCCTCTCCCTGGTTTTCTGGGATTTTCAGCAGTAAGGGGAATGGTATTCCACTATACTCCCTGGAACTCAGGGTCTTCATTGTCAGCACTCTCTGTATGTACCCTCATCCCTTATCACCTGGGAATTGTTTTACTTCCCCTATCATAGGGTATCACAGAGCTTATCACAAAAAGGATGAAGATTCTTTCTGTAAAAGAAAAGCTGCTAAGCCCTTGCATCCTTTTCAATAAAGTCAATCCAAGTAATGGCCTGAGAGACAAGATGTTTGAGTACTCATCATAGCTATGTCATTATGTGACCTTAGGCAAAAGTCATATTTATTTATAGCAACTCTGTTTATATTTATAGCACTCTATATTGCTATGAGACAATGAAAACCCCTCAAATAGGTTTTGGTGAATGCATGATGTGCGCCATAATCTTCTTGTACCATTCCCTGATTTCATCTAGCCTTTCCCCAAACACGCTGAGTTAACCTCATAACACCAATTGCATCAAGTGTCAACTCCTTCTAGGGCACCCAGCCAGCTTGGCTTTACCCTACCAATTTCGATGGTCTTAATTCACCCATTCTTACTCCCTTCTCTTTAAACAGACAAAAATGGTATCATCTCACATGTTTTTCTTCCCAACCTCTTGTCATTTGCTCTAGCTGTCCTCCTAGATCTAAAACAACCAATCCTATATTCTTCACCATTGCATGTTTTTCATTTGAACCCAACTTAAAATCGATGTCTTCCAGGGTATCATCCATGATAAAGCCAGCTTCTTCTATTTCCTTTTTCTTTTCTTGTTTAATGTTACTGGATGTTGGCTCCAATTTTTCAGTGAGTTCTTTTGCATTGGGCAGATTTTCTCCACTTCCAATTTTTTTCCCTGTTTCTCTGTTGAGCGTTATCTTTTTGGCTGGGGCAGTTAATACACCTTTGTCTTTTTCTGGGGTCCTATCTGTTTTCTCAACATCTGGCTCAATTTTGCGCTTTGGTGATGGCTTCATCATTTCGGCAACTTCTGGTTTAGAGTTTTTCAATGACAAAATCTCATGTTCTTTGCACCCTTTTCTTCAGCTTTTCTTTTTCTTTTTTCTGGCTTTGCATCAGCTGGCTTACTATTTTCATTAGTCTTTTTTGACTTTTCCTCCTTGTTAGCTAGCTTTTCTTGTTTGGCATCTTTTGAATATTGCTTTTTAACTTTTTCTTCCTTGGTGGATTTAGTTTTTGATGCTTTTTTGTCATCTTGGGGTGAGCTTTTCTGGGTGTATTCTTCTATTTTCTTATTCTATTGCATGCAGTTGAATTAAACTTCATAGCATACTTTGGTGCTAATTTATATAATTTTGAAACTATATGTAGTTCACAAATATATATTCTATTCAATTTGTTTTTGATGGATTGTAAACATTTTGAGGGAAGGGGCTACTAGTTCAAACTATGCAAGTCCTTTAGCATAATCTCCTATGTTGCCTAATGGTATGTAGTAATAACAACTTTGGTATCTTTCTGTTTGTAAATTCAGTATCCTGATGGCTTTTCCAATTCTTGACATCACTTGTGCATTTAAAATCACCATTCACTAGTATAGTGCTGCCTAGGTAATTTGTGACAGCTACTTTCAAGGACATAAATTTTGATGTTGTTGAATGAATTCTAATGGGTCAGCCAACTGGCTATCTTTGTATATTAAGAGTATTGAAAACAGATTCCCCTTTACCCCTGCTTAACTGAGCCTCCAAACATCAATTTAAATGGAGCCTGTTGTGAATAGTTCCTATACCCATCATCCCATTTACATGATTGTCTTACCTCAAAATACATCCCTGGGCTGAATGGAAAGTGTGTAATGCTTCTTTCTTCTTCTCCCCAGCTCTCACAGAGAAAAGAATTTCTTACAAATGCTTTAGCACTTAGCCGGGGGTTCAAATGCAGTGCTATATCCTTTGTACTGGATGCCATTAGGTCAATAGTAAAGCTTCTAAAAGCACACACACACAAAAAGCCCAAGTCAATAAATACTGGAAGGTGTCAGTATATGCCAGATTTTTTAAAATTTTATTTTTTAATGTAAACATTTTTTATTTTTAGTTCCAGATTCTCTCCTTCCCTTCCCCATCTCCTCCCCAACCCACTGAGAAGGCAAGAAATACAGTGCCCCATTCTACACAGAAATCATGTAAAACTATTTCCACTTTATATGCTAGATGTTTTAATAAGGCAGTTTTGATGCATGGGACCTTGGTGTAGGATAGAACTAGGTCTTAACATTGTGTTCTACAGAAGCCTCTAACTAGCTGAGCTCTAAACCAAACTCTTTCTTCTCTCTAAAACCTAACCCCTTAATTCCTATTAAAGGCACCAGTATCCTCCCAGCTTCCTGGGCTCATGACTTAGAGTCACCTTTGATTCTTTACTCTCGCTCACCTCTCTATAGCCAGTCAGTTGCTAAATCCTATAGATTCTACTGTGGCAATTTCTCTCACATCCAGCCTCTCTCTTTTTTTTTTAGGCAGTTGGGGTTAAATGACTTACCCAGGGTCACACAGCTAGTAAACATCAAGTGTTTGGTCTGAGGCCGGATTTGAACTCAGGTCCTCCTGACTTCAGGGCCGGGCTCTATCCACTGTGCCATCTAGCTGCCCCTCAGCCTCTCTTCTACATTCCCACCTCAGCCACCCCTAGTTTCCTTTTCAAATCTGGATTACTATAATGACCTCCTACCTAAATTGTTTTGGAGGCAGTCGGGGTTAAGTGACTTGCCCAGGGTCATATAACTAGTAAGTGTCTGAGGCTGGATTTGAACTCAGGTCCTCCTGACTCCAGGGCCAGTGCTCTATCCATTGTGCCTCTTAGTTGCCCTTTCCTCCTACTTATTCCTAAAAGGTGACTCTTCCAAAGTCACAAAGCCAAGTCAGTGGCTGAGTCACATTAGAACCTAAATCTCTGATTCCTTGTCCAGTGTCCATTTCATGCTGTCTAGGCTAGGATCCAAGTTCTAGTTCCTGGCTTTGCATTGGCCAGCTGTGTGATCTTGAGTAAATTACTTAATTTCTTTGTGCTTCAATCTCGTCATATAAAAAGGAGATAATAGTTACCCTTGCTAAATATAGTCCCTCTCCTGTGGGTGTTCCAACAAGTTCTCTCCTTGGTCCTCTTCTCTCCCTTCTCTACACAATTTCATTCACACCTACATCCTCCATGAAGATGATTCCCAAATCTTCTTCAACCCTGACATCTCTTCTGAGTTCTAGACCCAAATAAGGTTTAATAAACATTTGTTGGTATACTCACACTGTTGGGAAAGCATGACCATACAGTACGAGTGGGCATGGATGAGTACGATTTCCCCCCGCTCAAGGGAGTATTGTTGGAGGAAATATACACATTGATGAGATCACAAATCCAAAATACTACTCTGCTTTAAACTGTTATCTGAGCTGTACAAAGGCAAAAAAGTTACAATATTTTAGGAATGCTGGTTTAGTGTTACCCACCCCTTTGGATTTTTCTTCACTTCTCCTCTGATGACAATGGTTCGTCCACGGCTCAGTGCAGAGTTCAATCTTGCAACATAAGGAAGTGTCTAAAAAAAAAGAACCATCTTCAGCTGATCTGTATGAGCTTGAGAAAGCAGGTTACACATGGGCAAAATGAACCAGTTATATTACTGTATTGGGGGGGCATCACTAGTGCCCCCAGATTATCAGCTCCATGACATGAAACTGACTCAAACTGAACTGCTTATACTGGTTGTCTCAGTTCAGTATTCTGTAAGCTATGTGACCCTCAGCGAGTCACTTAACCTTGATTGCTTCAGTTCTTTCTCTATAAAAATGAGCTAGAGAAGGAAATGGCAAAGCACTCTAGTATCTTTGCCAAGAAAAACCCAAATGAGGTCATGAAGAGTCAGACAAGACTGAAACAACTGAACAACAACATTCTGCCTAACACTGCAGGCTTCTCAATGGGGAAGTGCATTAGGAAATGTATATGACTTCTTTCTGTGCTAATTATTCCCCTGTATATTTTTAAAAACTTGATGTAATGATAGCTTTGAAGTTTATATGCTGCAAATGAATGGGAAATGGTTGCATTCAGCTTCTGCTGCAGTAAGGGATTTGTATGATTTATTATAAAGAATATAAAATTTATTTTGGCCTTTATCCCATTCATTCAGGATTGGTAAACAGCATTTCAGTAGCAGGGAGGTAAACAAACGTATGATAGATAAGCAAGTATTATAAATTGACATTCAACCCTGGAACATTTATGGTGACTATGGCTCTTTGTGCTGCTGCAGCTGCTACAGTTATCATCCATTATCTCTTGAGGTTTTGTGGAGAAGTTTCTGGAGTAAAATAGGGTTAAATGAATTTGCCAATTGCATTACTGATTTCTAAGCCACTGTATAAATAGTTTTGACGTTCATCTAGAAGTAAAAAGTACTTACAAATTGTGACACCTCAGATGTTTGCATCTGCTAGAAGAGAAAGAAATAACGTTGAATAAGGACAACAGGAAAGGATTCTGTTTTAGAATCTGGGTAAAGTCTGATCCTGTAATTGTTTCTACTAATATGTGATTGGAGAGGATTGTGATATCTTGAATCCAAATGTCACATGTTTTGTGACAGGTGATATAAATTTAAGATTCATCCAGAATATAAAAAGCTAGTCATTTAGAATGATAATTCACTATATCAGTGGATGGCTTTTCTTGGTCTTTTACATGTCATGATGTTATAATATTTTCTCACAGAATTATATGTGAACTTTACACATTTCTGTCCCTGGAATGTTGTAAGTACTTAATACTTTTTTTTAATTCCCTTTTCTATCTATCCAGAGAGTTCTCAGAATCATATGACTATTTATGAGATATAAATGTGCTGAAGTCAACAAGACCCTCACCGTGAGCACATAAACAACCCCAAAATGATTATGCTCAAACTATCTCCAGCTGTTTAGGTTTATTAAATCTCTTCTGGGATGTTATCAACTGTAAATGAGATAATGTTTATAGAAGTGCTAACCCTAACCCACCCTGAAAGAGCTATATAAATGTCACCTATTATTATTATTGTAGCTATTAATCTGATAACTTCATCTGGCCAGTGTTCTAACTTTAAGCAGCTGATGTAATGTGTTTCCTAATAGCTGTGAAAGAGTTATATCTTCCTATGAAAGATGATCCTTTCATTACTAGCCTAAGCTTCTGCCTGAACTTGGAACTCTAGAAATACAAAGTGTTTCTCTTTATTTTTATTCATTTGCCCTTGTGGTCTCATATTTGAGATACAATTATAAAAATAAATGCCCTGCATCTTATTTACAAAGTGACCTAAAGAACTTTGACCACCATGGTGATTTTTTCCTACTTACATTTCCTGAATTTGTCTTTAGCATTCCCAGAGAAGTTGCTTGGGCTCCTTGTAAAGACTGAAGAACAGATTAAGGATTAAATTTTCTGACACTTCAAAACATTCTTTCTTAATTTGGTCTGCTTAAGGAATTACATACTCTTAAAGTACAAATGGAATTCATTAGTTGATGTCAAACGGTGATTTTTTTTCCTCCCAGAACGATAAAAGAGGACAAGAGACAGCCATTTATCTGTACTTTAATGTAACGCCAAGAGAGACATTTTAAAATATTTTGTGCTTCCTCCATCTATGAAACTGAAAAGGAAGTGGGGGAAAAAAAAAAGGTCTTGGGTTTCATCTTACCACTGACATTCTCCCTGGAATCGATTCTTCATCTTTGGGATGAAGCACTTTTTCCAGAAACTATTCATTTCTGTGGCATGGTAAATACCACAGTGATGAAGTTAAAAATTGAAGGCCAAATCCATATGGCCCTAAGTTAGCTACCTGAATTCAACAAACATTAATTAACTGTCTGCTGTATACAAAGCACTGTGCTAAGTGCTAAAGATGCAAAGACAAAAAATTACACAGTACCTTCCCTAAAAGAGCTTCCAATCTAGTTGAGGGTGGAAAGAGAAAAGGTATATAACATATACACAAATAAGTATAATAAAAAAGTGTGATAAAGGCAAAGGAGATTCAGACAGAGTAATACATGAAAAATCTGAAGGACACATCATTTTAGCTAATGGGATCAGGTATGGCTAAGAATAAATTCCTGAGCTCACCTCAAAAAATAAAAAATTCCAGGTCTGAGATAGTATACATTATAAAGGCCCAAATAAAACCAGGTTTATTAAATGGTCCTCTGGGAATCTGAATTAACTCCCCAGAAAGTGAGCAATATACTCACGGTGATATTTCCTGACCAGCACTAGCTCGATCTCACTAGAAGATGAAGGGTTCTTAACCTTTTTTTTGTCATGGACCACTTTGACAGCCTGGTAAAACCTATGGACTCCTTTTCAGATTAATGTTTATAAATGTATGAAATAAAATACAGTGAATTACGCCAAGGAAATCAATTATGTATACTGAAATGTAGTTATCTAGCTATCTCTTCATCTATCTACCTACTTATCTATCTCCCTTAAAAAAACAACAACCCCAAAACTTAGGTTCACGGATATTTGGTGAAGAATTCCTGTACTATAAGATCCTGGTTTCTAAAGGTGAACAGTACTATTAGAAAAGCAATTCTAAGAGAACATAAAGCTACGCGGGGGTACTTACCAAGTTACTGTGAAACCCAATTGACACAATCTGTACTTTGCCATAAATTCCCAGGGTATCTATTTTCTCTGGTTCAATTCTGTGTTTGTAGATCAATAGATGCTTTCCATTCACAGCCACCTATGAAGATAGCAGAAAACTAGAAATAAACTGCAATCTAAAGGCTTTAAAATTTAACTTTAATTTAATTAATTTAAAATCTCAAACTCCTGGATACTTAACTTAGTATTCTAGTTTTAATCTCTAATCTTGGAATCAATTTCATTATGATAGTATAACTAGAGCTGGAAGTTTTTTTTTTTTTTTGCTTTTTGGTGAGGTAATCAGGGTTAAGTGGCTTGCCCAGGGTCACATAGCTAGGAATATCAAGTGTCTGAGGCCACATTTGAACTCAGGTCCTCCTGACTCCAAGGCTGGAGCTCTAACCATGGCGCCACATAGCTGCCCCCTGGAAAGGATTTTAGAGGTTATCTAGTCCAATCCCATCATTTTACAGATGAGGCCCTGAGATGTTAGGTGACATGCCCAAGGTTGTAAATGGCAGAGTCAGGATTTGAACTCAATTTCAATGACACCAAGTCCCACGCTCCAAGTTGAATAGACTTTTCACTGCACCATATTATCCCTCAATTCTTTCTTCTTTGATCTCACAATATGTTGGACCATGATATGACTAAAAATCATATTTCCTCTAAACTTTGCCTACATTATTAGTCACTTAGCTCATATTTATCAAGCTTTTAGTATGTGGTAGGCACTATGCTAGAATTTCACTTTAATGCTGCACCATGTTAGGTAGAGATCTTCTTACTCCAGGAGACATTTAATTTCATTACTGTATACAGATGGCAACTCATCCTGTGTGATTCTTATCCATGTCCTCTCATAATTTATCCAGAGAAGGTCTATCCAATGTGCAATTGGTCTCCTATTTCTCCTGAATTTAAGTTAGTACCGATGCAGCACACAAGACTGTCCATCCATTGTTTCTCACCCTCACTTCATTACTAGCACACCTCCTTTTTAAGTCATACATCTTTTTGATGATAGATTTTATGCTACCTTTTATATATATCCTCCATTGGTAATATAATATGTTGTAGTCTACTTATGTGTCTCTCCATTTTCCTTTGGGTGGTCTGCCATTTTTATTTGTCAAAGACTGTGGTATCCTATGATTTGCAGATATATACCCAACTAGAAGAATATTGGTATTAAAAAGTTACTTTTTGGTTTCAGAAAGAAGCAATTTCCCATGAGTAGTCCCATGATCTCACTCAATTCTGGTCCCATTTTGTTCAATATTTATCAGCTATCTTGGAACACTTCTATGGGATATCTATCCAAGTACAAGTTGAATATGTACAATAACCATTCATTTGCTTAGTTTTTATCTGTGTGGATATTGATTCTGAACTCTTTTGAGTGGTTATGAATCTGATTTAGGATGCTCTACAACATTTCAATGTTTCAAAATCAAAATAATGTTATCTGCAAACAGGAACATTTTGGAGGACTTCACTACAGAGGAAACTGTCTTTAACTTGACCTTTACCCTGAATCTCCCTCCATAACAGTGGCAAACATCTTTGGAGGGCACACTTCTTCCTGTTTTATGCCTTACTTGATAATAATAATCAAGTCATTGAACAAAGTCATTTCATTGTTGTGTCTTTCAGATAATCTTGCAAGATGTTAATATAAGGCTTTTAGGTGTCATTGTGCTTTAGCAAAACAAATACTTTTCTAATGTCAACACACAATAAGCACATTTCTTTCAACTACATGACTGTAAAGATCTGGCCTAGTGGAGAATATAATTTGCACAAGTCTTCCTATTTCCTTCTTAAAAACTTTATAAAAGATAATCTTCACAGCTGTGTAGATTATTTTTACAGGTCCCATAAATGATGATAAAATGATTTTCTTTGGAAACATAGCAAAAACAATTCTCCTGACCCCTTCATTTGCCTCTCCAAGGAAAACCTGTGGGCCCTCCTTCCACTCAGCTGGGAATCTTCTGTTTTCATTTGTAATAAGAATGCTAATACTGACAAGATTCAGCTCCTCACCTGGCACATCAACTTAATTGTCACTGGGCGTGGATCTCATATTTAGGGTGTGCTGACAGTGTGGATGGATGGTTTAAAAGCTTTGTGATTCTCAGATCATCTTTCTTCTCACCCCCCCCCTCTGCTAGCACTGCCAGAAGCAAAAAAAAAAAAAGCCATAAAGAAGTGAAGGCCATTTTGTATCTTTCTTCATTTAATAGGTTCATGGCTTCATCCTCACCTAGTGGCTGGCCATCCTACTGGTAACTGGCCTGACCAAACTTAGAGGGTCCTCAGAAAACAGACACAGTCTGTCACTGGAATGGCACACAGAGCTCTACTGGTATTGGCAAACCTATTTACAATGTAGGTAGTATAGCTCAGGGTCACTTCCATGACATGACAAAACATGAGGACAGGACTTTTGTGAAGGCTCTACTATAATGATATTAAAATGATATTATAATCAAGAGAGAAAGCCAAACTATAGCACTTGGGAAACCTTAAATACTATTTAAATACTCCCCCACCCCTTTTCACTCTCCCCACCCTCTCTTCTTCATGTGCAAAAAATCTTAGTGCAATTTTAAGTTATTTAAGCTATTATAATTTAAAACTATACCACAATTTGGGGGACACATCATATTATAAACATGGTCATTGCAGTACCTCAATAACTAATTCCCCTTGCATAGAATCAGACACACATAAAATGGATGTAACTATAATAGAATGCTATGGCAAATACTTTCATAGCGCATCCAGTGTAATAATATTCTTTATAAGACAGCATAAGCATACATTTATCTGCTGCCAACAGAATACTGTTTGGAGGAGTTAAGTCTAATCAATGACTTTGCAAATGCTTTGCCCTTCACACACAGGGATAATGGATTTCAAGTTTACTGTGAGTCTGCAGTAAGATACAAAAGCCAAAAACCAAACCAAAACAAAAAAGACAATCTAATGCAATCTTGAGCTATGTTAGCAAAGGTATGATATCCAAAATGAGAGAGGTGCTCACTCTGTTACATATACTTTGCCTTGGGCAGACCACAAATTGTTGTGTATTCAGCTTTCAGCATCACATTTGAGGCGGAACATTGACAAACTGGAATGAGTCCAGAGGAAGGAGACCAGGATTGTGAGGGAACTTTGAGTCCATTCCACATATGGGTCACTTGAAGGAAATGGGAATGTTTAGCCTGGATGAGCAAAGAGAAGAGATGGCAGCTGTGTCTTCAAAAGGGATTGATCTGCTTGAAGGGCATTCATGTAAAATAGAGATCCAGGGACAGTGTGGTGGCATAGTGGATAGAGCACAAGCCCTGGAGTCAGGAGGCCCTGAGTTCAAATCCAGCCTCAGACACATGACACTCACGAGCTGTGTGACTCACAGCAAGTCACTTAACCCGAATTGCCTCACCAAAAAAAAAAGAGGGAAATAAAATAGAGATCCAACTGTTCTGTTTGGGCCTAGAGGGCAGAGCTGGAAGCAAAGGGTAGAACTTACAAAGATACAGGTTCAGCTTCAATAAAAGGAAAAACTGAACCTAAAAGTAGTAATGGAGTGTGCTGAGTGAGCTCTCTGGATTAATAAAGTACAGTTAATCCCTGGCTGGCTAGGATTAAGACTACCACCTCTGGCTGTGCAATGGGAAGCTACCTCACATTCATGGGGGCGAAGCCTGTCAACCTTACTAACACAATGTTCTGTGACACTAAGCTAAGTCATTCAGTATATCTGCAAGGCTTATTGAAGCCATGCATTAGCAGAATAAAGATTTGGTTCATTTTGTACAAGACGTATAAAATGCTTCTCAAGAACAGATTTTCCTTTGATGTGTAAGTTGTAAATCATCCAGGTCATAACTTGGCAGGCATCATCTGGACTGCATTGGAGACCGTGGAGGGAAGCTATGGATGGTTGGGCAACCCTTCACTCCTGTAGGTTTTTAACACATTTAGAAATGAGTATTGTAGGGGGAGTATTAGAAATTAATTTACTTTACCTCTCTATATATTAGTTTCCATAGCTTTAAAATGAGAGGATTAGCCCACACAATGTCTAAGGTCCTTTCCAGACCTAATATGCTATTAACTTATGTTGCCCAAGATGGTAAGGTCTTAGAAAAAAGAGAACTCTTATCCATGAAAATGCCTAGCACACTATTATAGGCAGTCCATAATTAAACAGCACCTAAAAGAAATCAGGTATAGAACCAGGTAAAAAGAGCCAAGAGCACAACTTACACAATAACTATGGTAATATAAAGGAAGACAATCATAAGAACTTGGCTCAGCGTACTGAGCAATCTTGACTCCAGAGGACAGATGATGGAATACAACTCCCTTCTCCTAGCAGAGAGGTGGTGGACTATAGGTGGGAATGAGGTCTATGGTCTTAGACATAGTCAAGGTATTAGTTTGTTTTGCTTCTTTTTCTTTGCCACCATGGAGGATTATACTGAGAGGTTGTGGTATTGGGAAATAATAGCATTAAAGACAATAATGTACAATGAGATACATCTACTTTTGGCTAATTTAAGGAAATTCAAGGAAAAGTTTCTAAGTTTTTCCAATGAAAGAATTTAGGGGACGGGAATCTTTATGGGCAAAGAGATAAAATAAAAAAGAATGAACGTCAAAATCAGAAGCATGTTTAGTAACTAGGGGTGAGCCCCTTTGCAAGAGGCTGTTGAAGAGATTCAGAATTTAATGTCCAGAATGTAATAAAATTATTCCATTTCCCTACCTCCATCCTCAACTCTGAAACATATAATGTTTGACAAAATCACCCTTCCCTGGGCGTTCGGTCAGCTGAAAACAAAAGAATCTACCCACAACAACCTTTTAGGGAACATATGCCAAAGCTAGCTTAGAGCAGCAAATTCATTCAGTTACAGTCTGAACTTAATGAAAATCTTCCCTATGAGTTTATTTAGACTGGGTGTCAAAAAATCTGGGTTCAAATCCAGCCTGTGACATTATGGTATCACTGGGGGCAAGTCACTGTACCTCTCAAGGTCGCCTTTTCTTTATCTGGAGAATGAGGACATTGGACTAGGTCACCTTTAAGGCTGCTTTGAACTCTAAATCCATGATGCTATGAAGATCCTCTACTGGAGGTAAGTAAATAATCTCTCTTTCCCCCAAACTGACCTGGAACTTGTCCTTCAGTACCATAATCTTGATCTCAAAAGGTTTTCCCTTTTCAAAAGGCATCTCATAGGTGATCTCTTCCCATCCCCATTTCTCCTTCATCAGGGTGTTGCATACGATGTGGCCTGACCTTTTGAACCTTGGGTTAAAGTGGAAGGCTACATCAGCTCGGGGCTTCACACTGCTGCCACTTGGAAATCCACCTGGAACCTATTCGGAGAAGAGCATGAGAGACAGGCCTTTTGTCTTTTAGAAAGAGAAGAAGATAGTTTCAAACCTTGTACTTTGCTTCCTTAACCCCTCTCTCCCCTCCTCCCCCAACCCCCTTTCCCCCCACCCCAGCTTGGTCGTCTGGCCCCGTGTCATCATCCAGGAAAAAAGAATTTTGAAAGCAAACAGTATTACCAAAAAGTACACAGGCTTCTTCAATTTCTTCCTTGTCTTTTCTCATCTAACATATGCAAGGCAGAGGACCCTAACCATTGGGTTACCTGTCTGCATCATTGGGCACATGACCATGGATGACAACCAACTTCCCAGGCCCCAGCTCCTCAGAATGTGTACCAACATATGGAATCATCTAAGGAAGAAGGAAACAGAGTTTTCTCTCAATTTGCTTTTGTTAATATGAATCATTTTATTAATCAGTGTCTGCCAAAAATCTGTATATCAAGTGGGAAACAACAGACTGAACCAGGGGTAAGGAACCTGCAGCCTTGAGGCCACATGGCGCCCTCTAGGTCCCTACGTGCAGCCCTTTGACTGAATCTAAACTTCACAGATTCAGTCAAAGGGCCGCACTTGAGGACCTAGAGCGCCCCATGTGGCCTCAAGGTCACAGGTTCCCCACCCCTGGACTGAACCAAGAGTATAGGTGATATCTAAGGTCTATTTCAGTTCTAAAAACTATGCTTCTACTACTGGATACTGGTAGCCAAACTTTTCTAAACTCTCTTGGCTTCTCAAAGCACTACACTTAGCCAACTAGCTGCCTCTCCATCTTTCTTTATCTTTCAGAATCCCTTTCTTCTTTCAAGACTGATCTTAGGTATAGAACCAGCCCCTGGTCACATTCAATTTGAGGTATGGGCTTGAACCAAGATTCTCTCCTGCCTGGGATTATGGCCAAAGGCTGGTTATAGGGACCACCTTCTCCCTGTAGACTTTTCTGATTCCTATACCTAAAATCATTCTTCTGCTTCTCAGACTTCATGAGAACACTGTTTTGTTCCAACATTTCTCATCTTTGTAATATACTTATCTTGGGTGTATCTCCCACCTAAAGGGTTCTTAAGAGGAGTGCCATTTTTTAAAATCTTTGTGTCCTCAGAACCTAGCACAATGCCTTGTAAACAGCAGGAGCTTAATAAAAAGACTGTTAAACAAAAGAAATGCTCAGTAGCTGAAAGGGGTAGCATGGTCAAACAAAAGGAGTTTTTTTTTTTAAAGACAGGAAAGACCTCTGTGTTTTTTGGCAAAATTAAAACAATGAGAATCTAATTGTGTTATAGTGGGAGGAGACAAGTTTGGCAACAATATACCTCAGGAACAAAAATTGTAACTACAGCACAGGCTGAGGCTTTAGTTTTAGAGGGCTCTTTGCTACTTCAGCATAGGAACTTTCACAGGTCAGTGACCATGTCACTCTCTCAAAGGCCCCATCCTCGCACAATATACCTTGTAGTTATTTAGTGAACACCTCTAACAATAAGGGACGTATGCCAAGACTGAGATCTGAAGCAATTAATCTGTTGCCTGCTCCACCCTTTTCAGTAAATCTGAACGGAGAGAAAAATGAACCTGATTCATTGGCATCATAGTTCTTAGAATTCCATTAAGATGCTACCTATAGGAAAAATGTGCAATGAATAAGGCCCAAAAGCCAGATGTACAATTTTCCTTTTGTTTTCTGGATTCTATGATGACTACAATTTGCACGGTCTGTTGACTATAAGGGGTACAAGAGGAAAACTTTGAAACTCAACACAAAAATTAAAAGAGAAAAATTATTTTATCCACTACAGCACCTAGCTGAGCACAGTATAAACATTCATTATGTACTGTCTAATGAATTGTTTAGATGCATCTGAAACAATACATTTATGAAAATAGGAATCCAAATGTTTTCAAATCTATATCACAAAACACCCTAATGGATTATCTGACTTATCGGTATCCTCACTATGTCTTTCAGACTCTAGAAGGACAGCCAACTAAAAACCAGAAAGAGGAAGAACCTTAGTGAATTATGGGCATTCAATAATGTACTATTTAATAATAAATCAGATTCAAGGCTCTTATTTCAGATATTCATTTCAGATTGCTCAGCCCTTTCATCCTACTGTGGAACAGAGAAATCTCCCAAAGATTACAGGTTAAAGAAAGAAGCAAAAGATCTAGATAGATTTTCATCAAATCCACATACTATCTAGAGAGACCCTGAAAAAGAAATTGTTGATTAAAAAACAGAAAGATTATTTTGGGGGCAAAAAAGGAGATCTTTTTGTTAAAGATATTTTCCAGTGACTTCTACACTGGGCTTTTCTTTTATTGCACTGAGTCATTATGGCACAAAACTCAGGATACACTAGTTTTGAGTTGGACTTATTGATTTTGCCACCTTTCTAGAAGCAGCTTAGCCTTTCCAGACTGCCTCTACCATTATGAAAGTTCTATTTAAGTTCATTCTTATAGAGCTTCAAGGAACATCTTAAAAGATAAGTGCCTGAGGGAGTGCCTAAGATATAAATGCTTGGGTAATTTGTCCAGGGTTACAGAGCTTGGAACTTGGACTTGTGTTTTCCTGACTTTCCTCTCTAGATTATGCTGCCTTGCCTCTACACCTTTTACATATTTCTTTCTGGAGAACTACGATTTCATTGCTATAGGAAATTCCCAATGAGTAAACTTTCTGTCAGAGGTCTGTAATTGTTCCATAATTGAGAGTCTTAAGACAGTTGTGTATAGCACTCAGAGGTTGCCCAAACTCACCTAGCCAGTGTGTGCCTGAGGTGAACCCAACCCTTGCTCTCCCCTTGCATATAGTAGGTGCTTAATAAATATTTGTTGAATGAATTAGATCTGATATTCAAATATGGGATCTTTTTTCTGTGAGGGACAGAAGTTAGGGCTTTAATTTGGAGTGTATTTTCCTTGCTTTGCAAGGGGATTCAATCATTTAGAATGCCATGTTGGGGTAGCTCAATGGGGCAGCAGATAGAGTACTGGACCAGAAGTTAGGAAAATCTGAGTGTAAATCCTGCCTCGGACACTTACTAGAAATATGACCCTGAGAAAGCCATCTAACCCTCTAGCTGTGTGACCTTGAGCAAGTCACTGAATTCTCTCCGGACATTCTCTACCATGTCTTCAAAATCTCTTCACTGAAGAAGGTTATACCACCCATGAACTACTTCTCATATCGAAAGTACCATCTGACCTGATAGCCTTTTCCTCTGACTAGCTGGTTCTCCTCAGAAACTCCATTTTAAGGAGGATTCCCAGGCCAACCACGTCTTCATTCTTCTCTAGACTACACCTTTGACTCCAGACTTTCTCTACCATGCCTCTGTGCTAGGTACCCTTATCTACTCTCCCCACCTCCACCTCTTTTCAGCTTTCTTTTCTGGATTGTCTTCACTCATCAGAATGGAAACTCCTTGAGAACAGAGGCTGTCTTTCTTTCTGAGTATGTTTGCCTCCCAGCACTTAGCATGGTTCCTGGCACGTAGTAAGCTTTTGCTGACTTGTTGAATTAACTCCGCCTCAGTTTCCTCATCTGTAAAATGGGGAAAATAATAGCACCTGACTCCCAGGGTTGTTATAAGGATCAAATGACAATGCTAGCTATTGCCAAATGACAATGCTAGCTATTGCCATTATATGGTCCCATCCTCTCTCTTTACACTAAAACCCTGAGACTTGCAATTCCAAAATGCATGAAATTCATTCTGTATTTTCTTACTAATATCATAGTTATGAAGCTTCCCAATTCTTATCTCCATTCTTATAGTTATAATTGGATTCCTTCTTATTGTATCTTCATTTAGAAATAATACAGTAGCTCACTCTTATTTGTACAGTGCTTTTTCCCAGAGGCAGAAAAAACTGGTGCGAAAGGAGCAACTCTCACACTCAACAGCTGAAAAGAAAAGTATAAGTTATGGCCTCATTCCTTATGGCACAGACTTGTTTTTTGTGAAATTTACAGATGAAGAAACAGGGGCATAATGACTTAGCCAAAGTCACACTTGGAGTAAAGGAGCAAGACTTGAACTCATGCCCAGAGCTGACCCTCTTCCCCTTGTTCAAGATTCCAGAGCAAAGACCCTGAGAAATATGACTCTTCTCAGGCCCACAAACACCTCTCAGCCTGAAAAACATGGCAACCAGCTCATTTCTCAGTAGTCTCATCATTACATAAACTCAGAAGCTTTGCTGTTGAACATGCTTTCTTTCTTTTCTTTCTTTCTTTCTTCCTTCCTTCCATCCTTCCTTTCTATATCTATTTATCTGTCTATATATTTATATGGTTATCTGTGCCTGTCTCTCTGTCTGTACATATCTCTCTATTTCCACCTGTCTATCCTCCATCTGTGTACATATCTCTCTATTTCCACCTGTCTATCCTCCATCTGTCTTCACCTACCTCTATCTTTCTATCTACCTATTTTACTTATCTCTATCTCTGCCTATCTATATCTATTTTCTTTCTATCTATCTATCTATCTATCTATCTATCTATCTATCTATCTATCTATCTATGACGCAGCCAATTCCCCAATGATTTAGGGGATAATTAAACCCACTGTGGCTTGGGAAGGCCCTTTATTTATATCCTTTCTTCTCTCAAAACCTTTCATTTCACTGTGGTACAGTGATGTGACTGCTGTTATTTGGAGGGAGGTCCTGAACTCAAATCTTGACTCAACTGCTTATTATATGTGTGACCTTGGGAAAGTCACTTAGTTTCAATGGGCCTCAGTTCTGTCCTCTGTAAAATGAGATCAGACTAGCTGATTTCTGATGCTCTAGATAGAGCTATGACCCTATGATTAGATCTCTCCCAGCTCCAAGTTTGTTAACCATACACTTCCACAGAGGAAGGAGAGAGGAGCTGATACCATTGCTAATTTTGCTCTTTACTAAATGTCTGATGAAAAACATGGGGGGAGAAGTTATATCTCTTGGATAAAGTGAGATTCTTTTCTTTTTTTTTTTTGGCAAGGCGATGGGGTTAAGTGACTTGCCCAGGGTCACACAGCTAGTGACTATCATGTGTCTGAGGCCGGATTTGAATTAAGGTCCTCCTGACTCCAGGGCCGGTACTCTATCCACTGCACCACCTAGCTGCCCCTAAAGTGAAATTCTTGGCATTAGATAATTTCTAATTTCATTCACATCCTCATAAATAAACTAAACATAGCCATATTAAGTAGTACTCTCTCCATAAACAAAAATTAATTTCTAGGAAATCAGTTACCGGATTGTGGATGATATTTTGTAGATTATTTGAGAGCATCATGTTGTCTTTCCAAATGATTGTTGATCTGGGTCTCTCTTCTGTCACTGACCTACAGAAAAACTTGGGGAATTCCCCCAGTATAAAATGAAAATTTATTTTTTTTTTTTTTTTTTGCAGACTGAAGCATATTTTTTCACTTTATGTATTATTTCACTTTATTTTGCTTGCTTTTTTTTTTAAAAAAAAAAACCAATATGGTTAAAATGAAAATTTAAAAAACTCAAACGGAGATGAAAACATTCAATCAAACAATCATTCAACAAACATTTATCAAGCCCTTACATGCCAAACACCACGCCAAACACTGAAGAGACAAATACTAAGAAAGAAACAACCTCTACTCTCATGGAGCTTACATTCTAATGAATGTAATTCACCACGTTCCTCCATCTACAGCTATTTTTCATGCAAGCTTCTCATTATTCATCATACTTATATAACACAGTGCAATTTAAGTCTCAGAACAATTAAAGAACTGTTCCAAATCCTTACCTGGTTTATTTGCAAATGGAATTCCTCTAATTTAAATGCTGGAAACCAGTACACACCATACAACACAAGTGTTTTAAATTTTCATTTTAACCATATTGTTTTTTTTTAAAAAAGCAAGAAAATAAAGTGAAATAATAATAAACTCTCTTGAAAAACAGAGAAATGTAATACTAAACAACACCATAGCCCCTGATTACCTGGAACATTTAGCAGAAGCAGTAATTGGGTAGGTGAGAAAAAAAAAAGCAAGCCAATCAGGTAAAGCTGTGGGTGTTTTGGCTGGTTTTTCTATCTCTTTACCAATAAAAACAAGTTCTTTGGCCAGGGAAGTGCAAGGTCTAAATGAGATGCATGAGACCCAGGCAGGGCTTTCAAGAGAAACCCACCCACTTGAACTTCATGCACAGTACTGCCTGCAGGAAAACCTTAATTACCGACCGCTAGCAGAAAAATAAACTAAAGCTCCCATGAATCTATTTTCAGAAACTTTTCTTTTTCTTTTTCTTTCCTGTATGTCTCCATACACCAACCAAAACCATAGCTTGGTTTCTCTCAGCTGAAAACTGCAAATCTTTCTTTGCTCCACATCTCAACTTAACAGGCAAAAATCAAAACCAAAACCAAACCAGTTCCCTCCTCCCTTCCTCCCATGTCCTTCCAGGAAGAATGCTTTGGATCTCTGCAAAATTCAGAAAGCTTTCAGGAACAGAAGACAATCTTCAACAAGAGGTCAGTGAGCTGCAAGTCCACATTCATAATTGAAAGAAACAGCTAAGGATTCGGTGAGCTACTTAAAGGCACATTCCATTCACATTTCTTTTGGTGAAAGGCTTATTTTAAGTGGATCACCCAGGGAAGACCCAAACACAGCCATTACTACCACTTCATTCCTTCAATAGGATGAGAGCCATAAGTAGGGTTTCAGACAAATCGGGAGAGGGAAACTCTGCTTCCCTGTGTATTGCTTTCAATCTTTTATTATTACTTTAATTAACCACAAGGTGACTGAGCAACTGTAATATGCTTTTGAAAAGAAAGGCAATTAACAGGAAGCCTGGAGAACTGCCATGAAACTAGCTGTAGGGGAACACTGTTATATTCCTGCAAATGCTGGCTTTCCTACAGAAGTTAGGGAACAGTGGGAAAAAACACTGGCACAAGAGTTGGGTTCAAATCTTGCCTCTGGTTTCATTGCTTGTGTGACCTTGAGCAAGTCACCTAACTTCAGTTTCCTATCTGTATAAAGGAGGTCGGGGGATTGGACTAAATGGCTTCTGAGATCCCTTCTAGATCTGTGGCCCCTTCACCACACATGGACTGGGGGCAATGAACCCTGGTCCCAAAGAACCCTGGTCTCAAACAGGAAAGAACCAGATGGTGGGGGATTTGGGGAGAGGTTTTACGTGTAATGATATTTCAACGCAAACCAAGTTGAGAAGGATTAAAAGTAAAGAGGTTTGGGGAGAGGTGAGGGGTGCTGGACCCCAAGAATGCCAAGGCAGAGTCGCCTGGAATGAATTCACACACTCAAGCCATCTTTCCATCAAGAGACAGTTTATGATAATGCCATTAGAAGCAGGTGAAGTCCCTTTGGGAAACTTGCACTCTAATGGGAGTGAATTTATATAGAAAAGGGGCATGGGAAAGGAATGCCAGGGAAGCCAATCAGATGATCTAAGGGTCCAGGTATCTTTGGGAGTTATGTATGGGAAAGTGTAAGGAGCATATCAGACATTGAAGGAGTTGTCAGAGGCATGCACCTTGGGGATCTGCGGACAGAAGGAGTCCTTGGGTCAGCTAGGGGCAAAACCCCTTGGGCCAGTACCTTGTCTCTGTCCTGATGAGGGAATTACAGAGTCAGACCTGCAACAAGAGTAAATTTTCTCAAGGGGTGGGGCTGGAGGAACTGGGTTACTTTCAGAGAGATAGTCTTAAGGCTTTTTGGGGTCCAGGTCCCCACTTCCCCATCAAGAGCAGCCTAAACAGATCTTTACTTTTTGAAGACGATTCTTTCCCAACATCTCTCCATCCCCACTACTCTCTCTGATGACAGCGTTTTTCCTTAAAAGATAAAACCTCCTTCCTAAACAAACCCACTTCGTAATAGGTAGAGGGAGGTTGTGCGATTGTGCTGGAAATGTTGCCTCTTAACAGAGACAGAAGAAATTCGGGGAGAACTGCATTCCAAGTTACCCGTTGCAAAGTAATTTGTTACCGGATCGGGCACCGGGAGAACTCTCCAGCAGCGGTAGCCAGACCCAAACAAATAAATAGTGCATTTCAGTAACATCCTCTTTCCAACGCTTTTCATAACTCTGCCTTGCCAGTGTCAGAGGGCTCTGTCCACGGGTCTGGTCCTGTACAAATTCCGCCACCTCTCCTATAGCTTACAGCACCGTCATTATGGCTGAGGAAGATACATTTCTTTTCCTACTTACCCTGGGTATTCAACCTTCCAGGAGATCCCAGCAGAAGCCTGTCTGTCCAGCAAGTCTGTTGTTTTCTGAAGGTATAACTTAGTTGTGTATGGGAGGCTAAAAGCAGAGCAAAAATGAGTCGGCTTCCAGTTCCTGGTTCACGCGTCCCTCCACACTGACGTCATCGTCCTGAAGCTGAGCTAAGGAAGTCTGGTCGGCTGACTTTCCTACTTTCGCCCACAACCCAGTGAGCCAGGGACCTGCTACTAACCTGAGCTTCCTGGAAGTCTGGCCAGTTGCAGTTTCAAAATAAGCAAAGGCATATCAACGGAGAAGCAGAAACATGTTACTAAAAATCATCATCATAGTAATAAATCTGTTACTGGACAAGGTCTGTTCTCTAACTAGAGGCAGCTGGGGTGGAAGGGAGATAAAACTAAGAAGAGCATAAGGAGATCGCGGCTTCTTCTCTAGCATCCTGGCACCAGCCCACCCTCTTCCCCCGAGTCCCAGGACAGTAGACAGCTCAGGGCCAGCGGCCCCTTTGATCTGGGCAGCACCAGCCACCAACCCTGCTCGTATTCTCTTTGCTTAGCCATCTCAAACTGATGGTGCCAGAGGTCTGACGTCTTGGCAATGAATGATCTGTCTGTCCATCTGTCTGTCTGTCTTTATGGTTTGGGGTTGGGTTTTTTTTTTTTTGCTTGTTTGTTTTTACTGAAGTGGCCCTCGGGACTCCTTGTCATTAGAGCAGAAACAAGAAATCATAATTCATAAATTTTAAAGTGTTATCTTTCCACGATTTGACATTGTGTTAACTGCTCTTACACTCCAGTGTTGTAAGATAAGATTTTAAAAAGCTTCCAAAAGGAAAATAGACTTACACTCAGGTATACAGAGGCTAATTATTTTGCTTAAAAAGAATCTAGCCCGAGATAGTTGCTTTGAGAGGCAACACTGCATACTGGGAAAAATATTGGATTGAAATTGGAACCCTCTCAACTCATTTCTCAGTCCCTCACAATCTGGCTGTCTACTGTTCTCTCCACGTTCATCAAGGAACTTTTAATTGCTACTTTTGAAAAATTTCTTAATTACTACATAACTTTTCGTTGTTGTTGTTTTGCCTTTCTTTGTATCCCAATCGCTTAGCACAGTGCCTGGCACATAGTAGGAGCTAAATAAACGTCAGTTCACTGACTGACTGCTACATCCAAATGCAGTCACTGGTCTTGTTATAATTTTCACCAGCCCAGAACTGCATCGGAATCTTAACCATCACTTTCGGCCAGGAGGCAAGCACAAAAATACAAGCTAGTAGAAAAAAAAACAACAACATGAAAATGAGACACGGTGGATTCCAGGACACCAGTGGAAAGAGACCCCAGAAAACTGCAAAGTCACTGCTGGGAATGCCATAGCCAGGGGAGGGAGCAGGGAGTGGGGGAGCCAGGCAAAGAGCTCATCTGGCATGGAGGCTGAAAGAAAAGCACCCTCTGCTAGAAGCCTGAATCACAAAGAGAGCTATGACAAAGACTGTTCTCAAGGAGCTTAGGATGGGGAGGTAGGGTAGTTAAATACACAATGACTATGATATTTTGAGAAGGAAAAATTCAGATAAAAGTGCAAGGAGGAACAGATCATTTTCACCTGGGTAGCTGGTTAAGGGAAATCTTTCTGGAGAAGATGGTGGCTTAAAAGGAGCAAATTGAGGGGAGCAGTGTTGTCTAGTGGATAGTGCCAAACTTGGAGTCAGAAAGACCTGGATTCAAATCCAACCCCAGATATTTACTAGCGATGTGACTTTGGGCCAGATGTCACCTAATCTCTCTGGGCCTCATTTTCCTCATCTGTGAAATGAAGGGGTTGAACTTAAAGTCTTTTCCAGCTCAAGATCTATGATCTTAAGACTTCAGGGGAGGGAACACAGGATTGAATCAAGCGATCAGGCAGGCAAGCTAGCCCCTGAATCTGTACTTTTGTCATTCCTGAGAACAAGTACTGCAAAATATCCCTCATTAGCACATCTGGCTCTCCACTGGGCCCTGGACCTTGCTTTATTCTCTCATTCCCCTTTCAAATTGCAAATATTTATTGATTACCTCTTATGTGCTAGGTGCTCTAAGGCTCCAGGGAGAGGCAAGGCCTATGTTCTAGGGGCACCTAGCCTTTAGATGGGGAAACAAGGCTCCAACATGTGACTATCGAATGATGATGAAAGATTTGAATAATTTAGACAATAGAAGAGATGTTGCAAGGCTGTATGTGACTAATTGTCAAATGAATTCAACTGAAAATAACTCACAAGAGTTTAGAAGAAGGAAACATTACCACACGCTAGTATTGCTTTCTTTCTTTTCTTTCTCTCTTTCCTCTTTCTCCCTTTCCTCTTCTCTCCTTCTGTCTCTGTCTGTCTCTTCCTTGGTCCAGTTTACTTGCTAAACCACAACCTTTAACATTTCTTATCTCTTTGTTCCTTTCTTGGGAATTTCACTGGTCTTACTTGCTTCTCTGGATTAATCCTCTCCAATCTGGCCAGACTCGGTCTCTTTCATTCTATCCATCTTTCCTAGGTCAGGTGCAACACACCCTATCTTCTCTACAAGTCTGATGCCACTGGGAAAGAATCCTCAAGAAGAGATCTTTCTCCAAACTTTCTTGTTCCTTAAAATAAAATAAAAATAAAAAATTAAGTGGCAGCTAGGTGGCGCAGCAGATAGAGCACCAGCCCTGGATTCAGGAGGACCTGAGTTCAAATCCAACCTCAGACATTTGACACCTAGTAGCTGTGTGACCCTGGGCAAATCACTTAACTCCATTGCCTAGCCAAAAAATAAAAAAATAAAATAAAAACTTCCTTGTTCCTCACTCTGTCCCTCTTGGGTTTTGGTGTGCAGAAACCTACCATATATGCTCCCCTTGAGTCCTATAGTGGCATTCAAGGTACAAGGTTCTAGAACCTTGAGCTGTATGTCATAGAATCAGAGAATCTCAGGGCTGGACAAGAATCTTGAGAGTTACCTATATTAGACAATGTCAGAGAAATGGAGGTATGTCCTTGAGAGCATGATGCAATTAAAAAACAAAATACCAAAATATTTGGCTTAGAGTTAGGCCTAGAATTTGGGCTGACTCTGACCAGCTGTGTATTCCTGGTAGTCACCTCATCCTTCTTTCTGTGCCTCAGTTTCTTCATCTTTAAAATTGGAGTAACTATACTTGTACTACCTACCTCACTGGAAAACACTGCTTTGTAAACGTCAAAGTATTAAATAAATCATAGTAACATATATTTAGGTTTGGATCTCAGACAGAATCTCTAGGTTGGCCTCAGGGTAACGACTTTTTCAGCCACAGCCATTCTTTAAGACTGTCAAAAAAGAAAGTCACTTCCGGGGCAGCTAGGTCCGATGTGAGAGGCAGCATTTGAATTGAGCTTTAAAGGGGGCATCAGGCTAATCTATCAGCTATAGTAACCAATTAAAATCATCTCAGGTCCATCCAAAGCTGAATGGTAATTTGTTGAGCCAATGACATTAGTGGCAACAAGGAGAGGAAGGGGTCTTCTCTTTGGTAAATTCCATGTTTTGCTTCCGTTTTTATGTACTCTATAAGTCTTTTTTTCTTTCCTTCCTTCCTCCCTCTCTCCCTGTCTCTGTCTCTGTCTCTGTCTCTTCTCTCTCTCTGTCTCTCTCTTTCTTTCTTTCCATGAGATCTTATGTATAAACTTATTACTTACATCCCCAACGAAAACCAACAAACTTCAGTAATAAAAGGTATGGTAATCCAGCAGGTAGGCATGTGATGATACCTGTTTTACAGGGGATGCTAGTAAATACAGGGTGTCCTGAAAGTCTTAGTGTAGTTTTAAGGCTTAATAGTTTAAACCTGTACTAAGACTTATGGACATCCTATATACATTTGTGTTCATAAAAGGCAGTTATTACAAGTTCCTATAAAAGGACTGTGAATTGTAAGCAGAAAAATAGTCATTAATTTCAGAAAGTATTTTAAAAATCTCTTACTGAGTATAATGTTTGTATGGGTGTGTTTGTAGTATCCCATGCTACTCCCAAATTCAGTGTGGCTATTTGGGGTAAACAGACTAGTGAACACATGTCAAGTCCCCATCCAATGCAAAGTTTCTCTCTCTTGCTATATCATAAGACAATATTTGCATCCAATAAAGGATAGTGAGTCCACAAGTATTTATTAAGCATTTTGGTGGTGTTGTTTAGTTATTTTTCAGTCATGTCCAACTCTTTGTGACCTCATTTGGGGTTTTCTTGGCAAAGATACTGGAGTGGTTTGCCATTTCCTTCTCCAGCTCATTTTGCAGATGAGGAAACTGAGGCAAACAGGGTTTTATTAGGTCCTTAACTAAGACATGTAAAAAGGCAAAGAAGGGAATCAAGCAAAAAAATGTTTTCTGCACTATCCTATGTGCCCAGGAGATTTTCAATCTAATTCTTTAATTCCTGATTCCCTAGCATCATCACCATCATCACTAACATTTATGTGGCACTTTAAGGTTTGCAAAGTGCTTTACATGTATGATCTCATTTGATCTCATAGCTTCAGTGGTAAATGTTCAGAGTACAATGTTATCAGCATGAGGCAGCTAGGTAAATAGGAGGGAGGGGTACCTGAAGTTAGGAAGACCTGAATTCAAATCCAACCTCAGACACTCACTTGGGACTTAACCCGTTTGCCTCAGTTTCCTCAACTGTAAAATGGGGGTAATAGCAGCACCCACCTCCCAGCGTTGTTGTGAAGATCAAATGACGTAATATTTGTAAAGTACCTAGCACACAGTAGGCGATATATAAATGCTTATCTCCATCCCCTCCTTTCCAGCCATTTCTTTTTCTTTTTGGTGAGGCAATTGGGTTAAGTGACTTGCCCAAGGTCACACAGCTAGTAAGTATCAAGTGTCTGAGGCTGGATTTGAACTCAGGTCCTCCTGACTCCAAGGCCAGAGCTCTGTCCACTGTGCCACCTAGCTGCCCCTTTTTCCAGCCATTTCTTGCAGCAGACTGGAAAATTGACTGAAAGTTTTTGTCTCAGCTCTGGAATATGATGGGCCAGCTATAACTCCTATTTCCAGGGCCACAATGGTTATACTGCTTCACATGGTCTCTGCTGGCTTGTCTCTCCAGGACTATTCCCTCCACCCCTTTAAAACCTCCGATCTGGGAGCACACTTCCCAGCTCTCTGACTACTGATGTCATCACACAGGCACATAAACAGCCCTCTGGGAAATATATTCCAGAAAATCCCAACCAATGATTGATGCTCCTTTAGCTCCAGGTATTGTGGGAAATGAAGTTTCATGGTGACATTTCTGCTACATAGAAAGAATGAACCCTATTGACTATTACCTCTGTGTACACTTTAGCTTAATCTTTTTTATTCTAGGGTTTATTCATTGATTATATCACATGAGGTTACAGAGATGATTGTCTCTTTCTAAACATCAGCACGTAGTAGGGATGATGAATAATTCTCCACCCATATTTGCAAGGGAAAATTTCTTGTTCTGTCTTCGGGGAGCAAATCGTTCTCCTGCTCCTGCTCACGGGAGTACCGATTCCAGCGTTGTTAGGTAAGGCTAGAAAAATGATGCACCGGAGAAAAGGAGAGCGGAATGTAACGTGCTCTCAGAACCCTAGTTAGTTAGTTTCATTCACTAGTCTGGTCTGGTTCTGCCCAGGGTCAAAGAGGCAGCATTCTAGCTAATGGCACTCCTACTGGCAATCACTCCAGGGATCTCAGGAAGAGGGTAATACCTGGTTCAGTGGAGTGAAAAGTGTGGCTAGCACCACTTTCAGGCGCTAGGTTCACAAGTTCAGCCAATTAGAGTGCGTGGGGCAATTTCTGAGTTTCTCTATTTAAAAGGAAGCCTAGGAAGAGGCTAGGAGTCAAGAAGCTTAGGTTCTTCTAGAGCCAAGAAATAATATACACACTGTATATTGTATCCTGTGTACAACAATGCAAGTGGAAAGAACGATATTAAAAAAATCAAAAGTGAATCTTGCAAAATTATAAATAACAAGCATGGATCAAAAGAAGAGATTCCCAAAAGAAAATATTCCCATCACACATACCTCTTTAGGAGGTGGAAGGCCCATAAGTGTTATACTTTGCACATATTTTCAGATATTTTCCCAATGCATTGACCAGTTACGCTGATTTTTGTCCTTTTCCTTTTCTTTTTCTGTCTTTAAAAATACTATTTGTTATATGAAATAGTTCTCAGGGAAGGGAAGAAGGATATGGGGAGAAATGATGGCAATGTAAAAAAACCAAAATACATCAATAAAAGCTTTTTTTTAAACAAAGATTTATCTGCTAGATCACTATATAAACTTTGGGAAGTTACTTCATTTTTCTGGACCTCATTTCCCCATTTTGTAAAATGAATTGGTTGGAGTAGGTGATGTTTGAGATCCCCTCAAGGTCTAATTCTCTAATCTTATAAACCTGTGTATCTATAGAGAGAATAAAAATGTCACTGACTTCAACTATTTAAAAACAAGGCCTGTCTGAAGGAGTGAAATTATGTGATGTTCTTTATTTTATTTTTTTAGGCAATTGGGATTAAGTGACTTGCCCAGAATCACACAGCTAATAAGGGTCAAGTATTTGGTCTGAGGTCAGTTTTGAACTTAGGTCCTCCTGACTTCAGGGCTGGTATTCTATCCACTCTGCCACCTAGCTGTCTCTGAAATGTCCTTTAAAGAAAGGTAGTCTGTACTTTTCATTACATTTTTAAAATAACAGGCTAGACTGATGAACTGTAAAAAGGCAGAGCAGAACTGTGGAATTCAGATTTGGAGAAATTCAGTTCAAATTCAGCTCTGCCACTTACTGTGTGACCTGGGTGTGTTACCTAGCCTCTTTGGGCCTCCAATTCTTCATAGGTAAAAAGCAGGGGCTTGGACTAGATGATCTAGTATTAATTCTATGATTCTATGATTTATTAGCATAACACAGGCTTGGCCCTGTCCACAGGAGCATTGACATGAAACTTTGGGGGACTCAGGTGTTCAGCCTGGGCATTCTTCAAGTTAATTGGTCTTGACCTTCAGTTTGGATGGATTTCTTTTTAACATTTTAATTTAATAATATTAATTTATTATTTACATTCTTTTCTTTTTAAATTTTTATTTCCAAACACCCCCTCTCTCAAGGACTGTTACTGGCCCCATTAATCAGGTCTGCAGTCTGGATGACCCTTTCCTCACTCACGAGCGCCTCTTTGGGCTTAGATTGGTAAAGGTACTGCTTTCATGAAAACAGATATGATTTGCCTAAATGTAGAAAAAAGGAATATGTTTTTAAAAAACCCAGTTAATTCTAACATTGTTTTTATTAATCAAGAAAATCTACGAATTCAAACAATGGTGTTATTGGTTATAATGTGAGTCATAACACCTTTGCTGGAGTTGAGAAAGGAAAAGGTAGCACAGGGGATAGAATGATGGACTTGACATCAGGAAAAACTGAATTTGACTCAGATATTTATTACTGCTGTGATTATGGACAAACCTCTTAACTGCTTTGAGCCTTAACTTCCTCATCTGTAAAAATGGGGATAATACCTTTAGCTTTAGAATATTCCTCAGGGCTGCTGGAGGCTTAAAGGAAATAATGTATGCACAGTACTTTGCAAACTTTCAAGTGATATGTGAATGTCAGCTATTATACTATGCATGTTCAAATACAATGGCAAAGGTATAATTTTGGGGGGTAGTCATGTTCTGGAAGGGTAGCTAAGGGGCAAAGAAAATGGGAATAAATGGGGCATGGGCAAATAAACATCTAGAGGCCAAGAAAGAATGAATGGTGGAAAAACAATAAGGACAACAACAAAAACAGCCTACCTACCTTCTCACTTCAGCTTATTTCCAGTGGAAAAGATGAGAACAGAAATAAGGGTTGTTTTGACAGCTCATTCCCAT